AACAAGTGGAACCCATGGCACCCTGGAAAGAGAGTCTTTTCTGTTGAGTCTGAGCCTGTTTTGAGTGAAATAGAAAAATCAGCTCAAGATAGCAGCAGCTGATTGGATCAATAGGTTAATTGCCTAGTCTACGTTAGAAATAGTTTCTACTTGTCCCCACTTAATAAATGGCCTTCTCTGTGATGAGAAAATGGAAGGGTCCCCAGGCCTTTTCACTCATCCAAGTTAGTGCTGCCATTGTCAGACAGTGTTTACCTGCCCTGCTGCTGCCCTGTGCTCTGCCCCAGGAGGCCAACTGCCAAGCAGATCGAGCAAGGGGAATCAACAAGGAAGCAACACACCAGCATTCATGCCTTTTCTTTTTCCTTAGTGGTGGTGGTGGTACTGGGGTTTGACCTTGGTGTCTTTGGCTTTGAACTTAATGGGCAGGTGCACTATTAATGGAGCCATGCTCCTAGTCCAGAGCACTTTCAAGTACTCTGACAAAAGTGACAGTAGGCCACGCGTCGGTGGCTCTCGCCTGTAATCCTACTCAGGAAGCTGCAATCTGAGGATCAAGGTTCAAAGCCAGCCTGGGCAGGCAAGTCCCTGAGACTCTTATCTCCAATAAACTACTCAGAAAAGCTGGAAGTGGCGCTGTGGCTCAAGTGGTAATACACTAGTCTTGAGCACAAAGAGCTCAGGCCCAGAGTTCAAGCCCCAGGACCGGCAAAACAAAACAAAACACACAACAGTTCTCTTACTAGAAATTATCCTTCCTGGTAGAAAAATGTAAACACATCACTGATTTTGGGGGGGGAGGGGCTTAACTCTAGTAACTTGATTTCTGTAATTACTATTCTCCTTCCTATTAAATCTCCTCCTATGCTCCCTGCTAAGAAAAGTTGCTTTATTCTTCTAATGCTTATATAAATTAATATCACTTCTTTACAATGTGGGCACATCTAGTTATGTCTCAAAATAGTCATTATTTTTCAAGATAATATACATGTTAATAGTTTAAGGCATGATAAAGCTAGCCTGAATGAATACAGCCACCTGTCAGTGTCCCCACTAGCAGAGAGAGAAAGACAGCGCCGAGGCCACACCCTGTGAAAGACCTGCGGGAAGCTGTGGCTCAGACGGTTAATTGAGGTTGAGGAGGGCACACATCAGTCCCTACAGACCTGAAGAAAGGAGGCCAGGAAAAGAAAAGGTCACTCTCTGCCCAGTGTCCCTTGCTTATGCAGAATGATTTCCTTCGAGTTTCTGCTAACCCATATGGATGTCAAGCCGTTTTTTTTTCTTTTCATCCTTTCTTTTTATTTTTAAAGCTTTGCTTTAATCCAAGTATGCAATTTAACATTGAAACAAGGAAAAGAGTGTTGCTTGCACACACACACACACACACAGCCTTGGTGGTTTTTTTTTCCTACTGAGGCAAATATACTATTATTTATTCATTATATTTGCCTTTACCTTTTCCAGAAGGGACTGGGGTTAGTCGACAATTGAAATAGACAAATTTCTTTGGCTTAAATTCAGAATTCTCATGCTGAAGAAAAATCCGGAATTTGTTTCATGGTCATTGCTTAATATGTGGCTGGGCCTCTCAGTTTTTATTTTACCTTCCCACGACTGGACTTCATCTTTCATGATGGGCAATGAAAGAAATTTGTTACAGGAAGTGGCGCTGTGGCTCAAGTGGTAGAGTGCTCGCCTTGAGCTGAAGAGCTGAGGGACAGCACCCAAGCCCAGAGTTCAAGCCCCACGACCAACCAAAAAAAAAAAGAGAGAGAGAGATTTGTTACAGTGTATGGCTTTGCTTTGCACGTCCTCAGAAGTCACTCTGCTAGGCATCGTCTGTGTTGGTCAGAAATCATACTTATTTGCTGGCAGAATACATGTGTTTCTAAGCGAGCCCTGGTAGGCACCGTGGAATTCCCCCTTCTTTGGAAGTTGCCTCAGGGGTCCTCAGCAGACCTGCACATCTCCTTTCCCAGTGCTAGTGCTCTTTTTGGTAAGTTGCCACATGGTTGTTGATGGTTCTGTCTAGAAGCAGGTCTTAAATGGTTTTCCTCAGTCCTCTGGAATTTGAGTTCAGGGCCCAAAGTTTCTGAGGCCAGACTGCACCCTCTTTCCCAACTCCCTGGAGGCACTGCCTGCCCTCCCACGGGCACTGCAGTCCACCCACTGACCTCCTGCTTACTAGTTCAAGGTAATAGCCCAAGTGTCTCCATCCATATAACTGCACCTAAGAAGCTGCTTCCTCCAGCCAACGCCCAGCGCCCAGTTTAGGAGCAGATTCGTGCCCTCCCTAATCACGTGCTTGACTCCTGGTTAGGAGTCAAGCTTTACAACAGGACTGCATTTGAAGACAGGCTCTTTAAAGAGGCCGTTGAGTGAAATGAAAGTATTAGGATGGGTCTTCATCCAATAGAACCCATGTCCTCACAGGAAAAGGAGCACTGGACACAGACATGGACACATCACATCATGAGGATGGGGTGAGAAGATGGGCTGCTGGAGAAGCCAATCCTGTGCACACCTGTAATCCTGGATACTCAAGAAGCTGAGATCCAGCCCAGGCTGGAAAGTCTGTGAGACTCTAATCTCCAGTGACCCAGCAAAAAAAAAAAAATGTGGAGGTGTGGCTCAAGTGGTAGAGTACCAGCCTTGAATGGAGAGAAAAAAAAGCCAAATGGGTACTTGAGGCCCTAAATTCAAACCTCAATACTGGCAGAAAAAAAAGGAAGGAAGGAAGAAAGAAAAGAAAAAGAAACCAACCCTCTTAACACATCGATCTTGGATGTCTGGTCTCCCGAATTCACAGAAAATCAATTTCTGTTGTTTAAATCGTCCCTGATACTGTGCTACAGCAGCACTAGCCAGTGGACTAGCTTCTTACATCCTCTGGGTGATTCACTAGCCAATGGCATAGCTTCCTATATGCGCTGGGTGATTCATTAGCCAATGGACTAGCTTCTTATATGCTCTGGGTGATTCACTAGCCAATGGAATAGCTCCTTATATGCTCTGGGTAATTCACTACCCAATGGAATGGCTTCTTCCATACTCTGGATATTACACAGATACACTTCCTCTAAGGAAAGGCAGCACTGGTAGGCTTCAAGACCTATCTGCATGTGACATGTGCTTTGTCACTAAAGTTTGTTATGCCCAGCCAGCTGTGCCAGTCCCCTTGA